ATACAAAACTAACAAATAAGGAACATAACAAATGCAAATACATAAAGTGCTCTCTTCCATTGGAATCCTTTGAAGACCTGCATTTATTTGATTTATGATGCCTCATTCCCCTTCCAAAACTGCATTGATTCTTTTGATGGTACATGACCCTTTCCTTAAATTAATATATCTGTTATTGTTTAGTTGTTAAGTCTTCTCCGACTCTTCGTGATCCCATGGACCAGAGCATACCAGGCCCTCCTGTCTTCCAACGCGTCCTGAAGTTGGGTTAAATTCATGTTGGTCGCTTCAGTGGCACTGTCCAACCATCTCATCCTCTGTCATCCCCTTCTCTTCTTGCCTTCACACTCTCCCAACATCAAGGTCTTTTCCTGATATTCAGCCAAAATCTGGCTTCCTGTGACTTCAGCTGATTATTACATGTCATGTACTCTGGGATGATCGAGAACGGCTCCTGCCCCTTCTCTGTATGGCTGTATCGCTACTAGAAACAACATAGCTTTGACTATGCGAACCTTTGTTGGCAAGGTGATGTCTCTGCTTTTTAAGATGTTGTTGAGGTTTGTCATTGCTTTCCTCCCAAAAAGCAGGCGTCTTTTAATTTCGTGGCTGCTCTCACCATCTGCAGTGATCATAGAGCCAAAGAAAATAAAATCTGTCACTGCCTCCATATCTGTTCAAAAGCTCTAGTGCCCACTTGTGAAGCACAGGAGAAAATTCTAAGTGGTTGTTCACCAAATTATAGATCTCAGGATTTTGCAGGTGGACCCAGACGGAATCAAATTGCTGTAACTGTGTTGCATAGCTACACTCGTAAACAAGGAATCAACAGAGCAAGATAAAACACTCAAGATCATCAGGTTACTTGCTTGGGTCATCACCATACTTCATAAAGAAAAGATTAGCAAGATGTAGAACTTTGTGAACTACGGTTCTACGGAATTAGGTTTGTTGCTATATATTGCTCAATAACCAATTCCAGAGTATTTAATGACGTCATGAGTTCCTGTATTCCCCATTTCTGATGCAGCCATGTGTTGTGGCTGCTGAAGGACCTGATGCTGTGGGCTTCTCGTTGGCCATTACAGGTGCTGGGTCAGCTAGATTTAAGGACAGATCTAACAACTCTCTTTTATGTTGACAGATGTCCAAGGATTTTGTATCCCTCAAACCCAGCCAAAAATAACAAATAAAAATGGGAGGGTGATTCAGCCCCTGGGTTCTCAACCACACGTAAGTCATTAGGATGCACTGAGTTTATCAGGTCACAGACTAGGGAGCCAAAGGAAAAGCTGGGTGAAAAGTGGAAATAGGTTTATGCAGGTGAAAATGTCTTGCATCACATTAAAACACCAACAATGTCCATATGGCGGAGGGGAGAATAAATTGTTTCCTTTCTTGTGCTAAGGTTAGTAAGAATCAAAAGTTCCAGTTTCTACCATTACCATCACACTTAGGACAGCTGTTGTAATGATTCTGACACTGATTGCAGGAGAAGCCAGATGTGGGTATTTATACACCGGTGACTTTTTCCTTCCTAAGCAGCATCTTGAGATCAAAGAAAGCAGCGATAGTGTATTAAAACTAACAGCACGTACATTCTTCCGTATGAAATGCGTAATGCTTGTAACTGTGGTTACAAATCAAAAGTTTGGAGCCTGGTGCATAGGCTTACTTAAAAGGGAAAAAAGATGAAAGCAGTCAAGGAACATTTAGGGATGAGAACTATAAATTTACCATCAGGTTTAGCTTTTGCAGTCAACAGCTTCACCCTCTTTGTCTCTCCCCAAACTCTAAACACAGAAACAAGGAAATAAACATGAAATATGTTTTTCACTGATGGGTTAAACACTGCCCACAGTAGAACTTCCATGATATAGATGTCTGTCATCCTTACTATTATAATGTTGCAGAAAATTTTTTGTTCTCTTACACAGAACTTGTAAAAGTTATTTTTCATATCACTAAGCTTAAAATCCCCTCCTGCTGGCTGCATGATTCCAGAAAATGTAAGCTGTATAAATTTGTCGTCAGATTTAGCCTTTATGGCCTACAGCTTCACCCTTTTCTTCTTGCCCCAAATTCTCTCCAAAAGTAACTTTTATATCTTCTGCAACGGTTGGCCATGCTGACTGTGGAGTTTTAGAATTATAGTCCAGTTAATAAATCTCCAGTCTCTGAACGTGGGATGTAACTCTTGGCTTGATAGCGAGTCTAAATCTTGCAGGTATGGAAGAAAAAACTGCAAAAATATTCTTCCTGACCTAAGGGGGAAGTGTTCTGTTTCACATTCAGAAAAAATGATGTAACTCTTGGCTTGATGGCGAGTCTTAATCTTGCAGATATGGAAGAAAAAACTGCAAAAATATTCTTCCTGACCCTTGAGAAGGGGGAAGTGTTCTGTTTCACATTCAGAAAAAATGTGTGTGTGTGTGTGTGTGTGTGCAGATTGAGTAAAATTATACAAAATAACACTTCTGTGAAAATAATAAAGGTAAGG